AGGTGGACCGGACGAGCTGTCTGAACTAGCTTGCTCCGCCGGTATTTATTGTTGGCTCTTGCCAGCAAGAAATGCGGCTGCAATCACATATGCACCGAATACAAACAGAGACATATGCATCAGTACAAACAAAGAAATACGATAATTAAATGAGTTAAGCAAGTAAAACCAATCAAAAATGCAGCATTAATTTCGAAACGCGGGACAGTTTACACGCAATCGCGCAAGGACCCACAGCCAAGCACGCGATCTCCACGGCTGACAAGTGGGCGTTACCAAACATTGTCGGTAATGCTTTCTTCGAAGGCGTTCAAGTCTTTTCTAGCGGTTTTCCAAGGTATGTTATTTTAACGGTGACACTTCTTATGTGGCTAGCGCAACATTTGCACACCACTAGTATCGAAGGTGCGGATCCCACTGGCACTGTTGCTTTTATACCAACATGTAGTGACCCAAAGAAATTGTTCATTTTCTCAGAGGAGCTTATATTCATACAACGGTGCAGAAACCGAAGAAATACTGTAGAAAAAACCAGAAATATTATGACATTGCCCGAATTTCGATACGAGGGTACTCACTGAGAAATCTGATGATAGTGCTAGGAAAATTCCCAAGGAGTAGGAATACGAATTTCTAGAGTGAGCTTATAATTATGAAGCGTGTTGTAGAACCTGCGTTTGCGCGTGTGGAGTAACAGTAAAAATTCAGCTGGAGCCATCTGTGAAGCCCTCCTTTCAGCGTCCGCACTGCATTCAAACAAGCCATTGCAACACAGAAAGACTGGGCAATGGCAAGAAAAATCCAAGCGCATTCCCTTCGTTATCCCAGTCACCAAGAGAGAACCTTGAGCTCTCTTTCATATTTGGTTCGTTCTAACTTCAATTGGTCCACCGCATTTCCACTTTCAGGTTCGAGCACAACAATCGTGTCCATTTCATTGCAACTCTCCCCTTCGAGGAGCCATTTGGAAAAGGATGCGAGAAGTCATATTTTTCGAACTGAATGGCAAAAACGAAGAATCTTCAGAAAAAAATTCAAGAATATATATTAGCTTTTCAAATAAGAATTGTTTTACTTTTGTGACATTGTTTCTACACTAAGCATGACCACTCACAATGTGTGAGCAATCACTGCAAAGACGGATTTCTATCACTAATCGGGACATTCTAGGCGCCAGGGAAGGATAGCTCCTTCAGTAAAAATTTGCGTTTAAAGGTGTTGAGTCCAAAACGTAGCCTACGCGTGCGCACATGGTATGGCAACTAACGAAGAGGAACAGCCACTAATTCCTGCGGTATGGTGACAAAAGATTCTACGTAAACGATCATTTTTGAAGAACTTCCAGCTGCGCTTCAATTCATCTGGAAGTGAGACTAAGGTAAAGGACTTGATGGCGAGGAGTAAGGAGACGTGAAGTTGTAGACGGCGGAGATCTTACGGAAGACTTGTGACTGGCCTGCCTCCTAATCACCCGCCTCTTCTTGCTCACCGCTTGTTTTTATACAGCGTGTCAGGGTGGTAGCCACCGACTGATGTGCCTGCGACCATATGCACTCTAACAACCATTGGAGTGGTGTTGACATTGGTTGGAGTTGTCACAAAGTTAACGGCAAGAGCTCACAATTTCCCTCAGAGCATTGTTGCATGAAGTTGAGGAAGACATTCAGGACTACCGTGACAGCATTTCTGCGGTTTTCACCAAAAACCCGAGTTAATATTCGATTTTCTCTTCAATCTGTCAACTTGCCACTGGTACAGTGTTGTTAGTATGTTGCCTTTTAAAATTGAAAAACTATTGGAATCGAGCATAAACACAGCAAAAAATCAATTTGTGTAGCTGCACGAGATGTTGAAATGCGCAGAACATTATTTCCGTCAGATTTATCGATTGTGAAGCCTATTTTTAAACATACTTCATCTTTTGTGGATCACGAAGCCAAAACAGAAACACGTAGTATCTCAACCACTGAGTTTCTGGGCAAAAGCACAATGCACTTCGCTAAAGAACTCACGTGCCAAAGGTGATAGATAAGAATGCGAAAACAGAGCTGCTTTACTTCTTAAGAATCCAATTGAAGTCCAGAAAGTCCAGAAAACAGAGGATATCTGCAAGCAACCAATGCTGTGACCACAATGTAGTATAGATTATTTCTATAGCGAAACATTTTGCTCCGTCTTACATCGGCTATAAACGCGAATACCGCAACCATGCTTAGCGCAGCGAAGGCTATGATCTTCATCCGTCGGCGCCAAAACATTATAACTTCCAAATGTGGCTTCACTCTGGGAATAAAGAGAAAGACAAAGATTAAAATGGCATCGATTATTCACTTATTGTTGTGAAAATGACAAAGTGGTTATAAACATTCATTAGTAATGTTTTTAATAAGAGCACGAATGAAGCTTGAAACGACGCTCAACAAGGATCGCTTGCAATATGCAATACTTCGAAGGTCGATTCGAGATCTATCCATATATGCATTGTTCGCCGCTCAAAATGCACTTTTGTAATCATCGAGCGAAAGCGAGAGCCAGGGTAATCCAATTGTGTAGCCGAGTGGGGGTCCTACATTGTGAGTTCGGGTATGAATTCGTACTTTGCGAATCTACATAATATTATAGTTTTGAAAATGCATGAATTGAGCGTTTTATTAAGAATTTGAAAGACGAAGGTCGTAGATTGAGATGGTTTATTATCATTTTAGTCGTAGGTTTACATTGCTTCGTGTGAATCCATTTGCGTAAGGATGCGGTTCAAATCGAGGCTTTTCGTTATCCCGTTGGCAGCTTGCTTGAACAACTTCTTCTCTTCGTCTGAGTCAGTCCTTCTTTATTGTTAGTTCGTCTTCATTTTTTCAAAAACTATTATGTGTTATCATTTTTCATGAATCATGGCAGCCAGTTTCCCATCTTACCTGCCACAACTGGCGCATCTTTGAATGCATAAACAAATAAATAAAAATCAATTAATAAATGGTGTAGTGGTAGAACCGCATCCATGCGTATACCCGGAGGTAAAATCTCGAAATGGCCGGGAATGGTCAACTCGACAAATTTAAATGAGGTGTACATTCCAATTCGTGTCTTGAGACGCTAAGCTCAACTCTGCTTTTTGTGTCTGCTGAATGCTTCTCCGAAAGAAGTTACGGAGAGTTTTCTTTTCCGCCCTTACTTTTGAGTGTTTCTGCAAATTCAGTCAGACTCCATCCTGAGATTGCTCGTGGTGGCCCCAAAAAGCTCCCCCTTCTCATCAAGAATGACTGCATTCAGCTCCTTGTTCCCCTGTACATTTGGAGCATCTATTGATAGTGCTCGGGTATACACCAAAACGCTGATAATTTTGCGTGCCGAAAACCATCGACATTGAAGTTCAATGGTTTAGGAACGGCGGTTGTATTACTCAGCCGTCGTAGCAGTCATAGTAAAACATAAACAAACATGAACATGAAGATGGTTGAACAACAGTATCCAAATAGGTCCACTACAGTATCGAAATTAGGACAGAATTAAACAGCACCTTCGAGTATCGCTTCTTGTATGTTCATGTGTTGTCGCTATAATTTTGGCGCACCCTGTAGGGTTGAATAATCATGGACCACATAGCAAGGGAAAGAGAGAGGGTTGCACTAGGAAATAATGCATTGTAGACCTTAGAATGATGTGGACAGTCAAGTCAAATACTATTTCTATCTTCTTCGATATGTCCAGAAGCTTTTTTTGTCATTATTTTACATTGGACTGATGGATAATTGAGTAAATGATCACTCGAATCTTCGAGGTTAGGTCATGACTTCAGATTTGGTCACAAGTTTGCCCAAATGGGAGAGTCTGACTCCCTGATTACGAATATCATACTTGTTCGGAAGCGAAAATGCCTGGCGCCTGCGCTACAGGACCCAGAGTAGCCTGGAGCACATGCCGCCCAAATTCGTTATTAAATGCCCTCAAAACCTTTGCGTAGGCGACTGTACACAAGAACGTCGCAATGATGGTGTCAGATACATTCCTAGCTATGTTACTGCAAACGGCAAAAGATTGAGCACGTTGAAGAGATCCGAGGACCGCTTTTCTGTGAGTCCAGACCACTGCCGCTGCGGTTCTCTGCTTAATAATTCTTTTCAGAAAAGCGTGATAATGAAAGCAGATTAGCGCTCAGCATTCCAATGCGCGTATAACTATATAAACACATGTCATTTCAGCTGGCCAAGTTGACCAAAAAACCTTTTCTGGTGAGTCTGTCTTAACCAAACAAACTTTCCTCACTTCTCAGGTTGTTCAGTTGCAACATTAAAATATTTTACATCACTAAGTGAATATCCTATGTAACTCATATTTTTTTCTCTGAGTGATCCATGAGGAACCGATCAATTCAGGCCGTGAAATTTGGACGACTTGTGAGAATCGCAGCACCACAAATCTAATCCCAGGTTGCGTCATTTGGTGGAATGGTATTCTGGGATGCACAGAGTATCAGTCAAATTTCTGCACGCAGATAGGAAATCCTTGTTTCGTACGAAATCCCTTCGCTCCTGGTACTTCTCCTGTTGATTTTTTTTGTTGAGATTGAAGTTTTTATTGTAAGTTACAGCTCAGAATCCTACACCTTCACAGATATGTTCTTTGTGGCATTGTCTCTATTTAAGCCTTGAATACTCTCAAATTACCAAAGCAACTTCTTCATTGCTTGTACAGCGTGCTTTCTGCATTGTTCAGCGGAAGATTTCGTTTTAAAATGCATAGCTCTTGTAAAAGATAAACTTATGTATTACTGTTTTCACAGTGATTCCTAACTCACGATGGGAAAGGGGAAAAAAAGGCCACATAATTTTTCGCAAAATCCTCCCAGCTTCTGGCGTGATTTTGTGAATAAACCACTTTCAGACTTTATTTACTGACAATGTCCACACTGTACGTCATCATATTGCGACGAGCTCATTCAACAAACAAAAGGAAGTGCAACTTGAGGTCGCTCAAGCATCAAAATGAGGCGTTGAAAAGATCATTGAAATCACAAACGAAGCAATTAGAAAGGTAAACAAAATCAAACACAGGCGATCGAGAGCGAGAGCAGCGAACTTCCACTCTTCCTGCAATCAACTTTATGATTGGAAGAAGTAGTAGTTAGTCATATTCTTAAATTAATTCAAGTGAAAAAGTCTTTGAATCGACAACCTTTCCTATGCATTGAGGGCATGGAAGCGACATCCATGCTACCTCTTCGAGATCGAAGAGGCATATATATATATATATATACTATGTATATATACTACATTACATGTATATATGTATACCGGTCAATGAATGGACCATCTATCGAGACAACTTCTTTTTTCTTCAAATTTAACGGGTTTCTCGTCTTTATCCCAGTTCTTTTTTTGCCAAAACTTTCCCTACTCCTTTTCTTAGTGTCTCGATGACGCTTGGGATATGCAACCTAGATTGTACCTCCGTTAAAGCCGCCCTTTGCTGATGAGAGCGCTCTTGCACAAATGAAGTGCGATGGGTCGCTATAATGTGAGAATAGGAAGTCAGTTCATGCAAATGTCGTACGCCTGAATAACAACCCGTTGTGCAACCTATCTCCATACACCGGCCTTCACTACTACTCGAATTCTGTGTCGTAGTTCCACCTTTTTTACGGACTACCATAACCGAGCCTCCGCCTCGTTTCACAGACTGAAGCTGATACTTTGGATCAAAACCTTCTCAAGCAGGACGCCACACGTGTGTTGTGCTGTAGTCTTCTAACATTCTGAACTTACTTTCGTCGCCTCAAATGTTAATAGGGGCATATGGGAAATTTCAGTCAAGATGTGCGCAGACCCATTCCATTGCCCATGAGCTCGCAGTCGGACAACTTCACAAGATCTGATCAGAAGTGGTTAAAGCCGCTTTCCAGAATATGCTGTGTATTCAGGTATATGGCACTTGCACCGATTTGACTTGCTCTGCTCACAATATTGTGATTCAAAGCATCGCACCTCCTGTGTGCAAGAGCGCTCTCAACAGCATGGCGCCGCTACAGCAGAGGGACAACTTCAGTTTCATATCGCGATGGTCACGAGAGACTATGAGAAAGGAATGGGAAAGTTTTCGCAAAAAAAAGAGATTTCGAAGAAAAATTTAGAAGGTTGTTCTAGTGGATAGTCCAATCCATGACCGGTTCCACACTTAGGCCCTGTTGTGGGTTCAACAACTCCACAAGGCCGCCAACAAAGCGCTGAATATGCTCGATGATTTTTGTCATGCCCATTGCTTTGGTGAATGTATGCTCTTTACAGTTATTTGAAATTTAGTTGGAATTTAGTCATACTCGAGAATTACTGGTGAAAGGAATTTCTCATTATCAAGTCTTTATCCATCCAACATTAATATGCCAGTTTAGTGAAGAACGCTTGCTTCCTGCACATATCGAAGCTTGACCGACATGGTTTAGCGGAAAAAAGTCACGGCCGAAAAGCATCTGGCTAAAGACTTTGAGCGCTACTGCATATATACAGTGGCGCTCAAAAGTATTCGGCCAAATACTTTTTTGACCGTAGCTTTCTTTCTGCCAAATCAAATCAGTTCAATTTTTGATATGTTTTAGAGGCAAACCTTCTCCACTTAGCAAGTGTATTACTGTTGAATGGGAGAAAGAATTTAGAAAGAAAAAAATTGTTACTTTAAAAATTCTCGAGTATGACCGAATTCCAAGTAAATTTCAATTATTGTAAAAAGCTTACAATTCAACAAAACAATCCACGCATGATAGGAAACGTTGGCAGATTCAATACTTACATTATAACCTTCTGGAGTTGCGAAAACCTCAACAAGTTACGTGGAATCAATCAGTGATTCCACTGTCTATTGGGACAATAGACAGTGGAATCAATGTCAATTTTTCCTTAAATCAGACGCGTGCTTCTTCCATATTCTTAACTCTTTCCCCTAGTTTCCTTATATTCTTCCATAGTGTTCGATGACGCTCAGGAAATGTGGCCGAATTGGTCCCTTCATTAGTGGCACGCTGGCGAAACCACTCCTTCACAGTGGAGATACGATGTTTTTGGTCGCTCCATTGCTAGAAGAGAAGACATTACGAACAGCTTGCCATACATACATACACAACACTCTCTAGAAGCTAAACGTATACGTCCGCCTTCACCAGTTCGCGAACCTGTGACTTTGTCCGGTTTTGAAGTGGTATGAGATGGAACGGGCTTACGCACATCTGAGATGGAGATCCAATAAGGTTCTAACGTCATCCAGAGCGACGAGAGTCATCTAGAGATCTACGTTTAGAACGTGTGGCGGTGGCGGCAGTAACAAAGTGTGGGGTCCTGATGGGAGGCGTTTTGATCGGAAGTATCAGCTGCCATCCTTGAAACTAGGCGGAGGCTCGGTCATGGTAGGCCGTACAAGAAGCTGTACCGCTGCATAGGATCGAGAAGGTGTGAAGGCGGACGTACAAACTTAGGTTCTGGAAGGTGTTATGTATCCGCACGTATGGCAGCTGCACGCTAAGTGTGTCACGGCGGCTAGGTAGCACACAGTGCGAGAGCGGGACGCGGGCTATGCTGTTGGGGGGAGCAGTGCAGTGCGAGAGAGCATGCGACGGGAGAGAGTCGGGGTTGCAGGAGCGCTTTGAGAGAACCGTGTTTGCGAGCACTAGGCTAAGGTGATGGGGTGACACATGCGGAAGGGGAGGGGATGGTCGTGGTTGGCGCCCATTTCGAAGCAGTATGAAGCGCGCGGTAGCGTGTGTGGCTGCCTGGTTAATATATAGAAGATCTATGATGATTTCTGATTTCTACAACAACATGCGTGAGCAAAAATCTTTAGAGAGCGGTTGCGAGCACAGTCTTATTTATTCAATTTCAGGATGCTCCAACAAAAACCACATGGCAAAAGCAGTGTCTATTTATGTGGTCTCAGGAAAAATGTCCCTTCGGTTTCCAAGCACGCGCTCTTCATTGTTGCCCTTAAGGAGATCGCCCGTGCTCTTAGCCTCTTTTACAGGCCTTTCCAGGTCTTCTCCATCTACATACACTATTCTTGTCTCCAGCAACTAAGCTTTTAATTATGATCTCAGAAGAAGGATTACTGTTGTTTTTCCTTACCTGTTCGTTAAGGGTCTCTTTCAGCTGTTCACTCCGCTGGCGAACGTGTTTTAGTCGTTTGAGAATTAGGGAATAACATTTGATGAATGTGGCACCATGTTGGTAAGTTCTTCGTGTTCCTGGAAGTAATGGAAGCATTTCAACCTCCTGTACTTCTATTTTGACCATAGAAAGTTGATTTTCTTACGGAAGTTAGCCGAAGATGCGTAGATACGACTTAGCGATGGCGTTTCATTAGTTGTTCCAGATCTCGACTTCTTCAGTTTATTCGCTTTCGAGCGCTTTGTCAATATGCCATCGCCAATTTTCCGTTGCAAATTCAGCTTTTCGAATGTGTTTCTGAATTACAGCACGAGCTCAAAGATTATTCATTGCCTCACGTCCACACATTATGAAAGTGCATACGAATAGCGGACTAATTTTGATCGGCTAAATTGCGCGTTCACAGGCTTTGCGCATCAAGGTGTTGATTTCTTATACACTTTGAAACGAAAATTCAATTTTTTGGTGAGAGCATAGTATTTAGACATTATACAATAACTTTGCCTTTGAGACTACTTGTTGGAGGTAGTCAACTCAAGGTGTCAGTCACATGGTTTTTATTGCAACAAAGATCATCGACTGAATCCGCTAGTGCACCACTCGTACCCTACGTACTGTTATTGAAACGTCCATTCGCTAGCAAGCGGACTCGGATAAGTCAATTTTCCGGCTCCATAGAAAAGCTTAGCGGTTGCGCATATGCGTTCGCATGTTGGTGACGTTACAGCTGCGGCAAGAGCGATAAAAGGCGTGCTTTTCTCTCCGCCCATTTTTTCGTGCAGGTGCGAGTTCTCAACCTACGAAAGATCACAACTTTCTTCAAACTCATTAATTTGAATAGCTAAAACCCACTATGACATACTTCAAGGCTCAAGGTTTCTAAGAAGTACTGAAATCTATTCAAAAAGTAATCGATTGAAAAATCGATCCCGTTGGGACTTTTGGGGGGATGGGGCCCTATTTTTTTGGAACCGCGAGTTTTCAACTTCAGATGATCAAGAACTTTTTTCGTGCTCACTCGTTTGGAAAGTTGTAGCCAGTATGACAAACCTCATGGTTCAAGCATTCTAGAAAGTGCTGAAACTGTTCAAAATCACCGATTCAAAAATAAGTCCGATGGAACACGCTTCAAGCCATTTTCTTGGGAACGCGAGTTTTTTAGGTTTCAATAGGCGTACTTCTTTCGAAATCGACATTCAAAAATTCACTTGAGCCTTTGTCAAAATCCGCTTTTCCAAAAAATTTCTGAAAATTTTCTATTTTCTTCGAGAAGTCTATGCTTAATGCCACTGTAATCTTCTTCGATTCTTCTTTTTTTTAAACTCCAGAAACATCAAAACAATTTTTTCGTTACTGACTACCCGAAATTGAAGCGCCTTGAACTAACAATCCCTGCCATGGTGTGCGCCGCGCCTGCGTCGTGCTCCTAATTCGCCGATACATTTCAAAGCCCATATAGTTTTTCCCCGCAAGACTTTTTCCAAAATAGGAGAGCAATACCGTTACAACTCCCCATCCGCACCCCCCTTCTCGTTGAACAAATACGACTTCCCTCGCTAGTACTTGTACTAACGGTGAACAGTTATTCAAGTCTTGCTCCGGTAGATCTACCACTAATACGAAAGGAATATTTTGTGGACGGCCAAACCGACTAAGAGACACATCAAGTGGGCGGTTAACATGATAAAAAAACGTAAAATACACACCACAAGTTGCTAAAAACCTTTGATATTTTTCACCAGGTTCTTCGCATAATTACTCTGAGTAGCACTTACCTCTCTTTCCGTAGTGAAGAAATAGTTTGTGTAAGAAGCGATTCCATGCTTCCGCACGAGTCAAAAGGTCCAAACTAAATTGTTTGTGATAAGCTCTGTAGTGGTAATATTCTATAGCGATTTCACACATCTGAATGGAATGCCGAAAAAAGTTAAGAAAAAGCAGCAACAAACGCCAAAAATGTGCTAAAACCTTGGCTGGGATGCGCCACGCATTCTACTTCCATTCAAATTCTTATGGATCTTAGGACTCAATGTTGACCTAATGTTGTTTTGCATTGTAGAGCTCAACGGGCTTATTCCTTCACAACCACGCAAGTCTGGTACCAATTTGGATCCCGGCGCCTTGGAAAGATTGGATGACCTGGTACAGACGAAAGACGCGACTTCACCTCTGCATCGTGCGCTTTGTAACTGACGTCAGTTGCGCCTACATTCTTTGTTGTTGAATTGTTCGTCATTGTCTCATTCGTCACAATTGTCTCATTGTTCACGAAGAACAATGAGATTTTTTTAAACAGGGTCGAAAGCAGATGTAAGAGTGGATGTGGTGTTATGGCATGTGGCCCCGTTCCCCACAAGCACGACCTGTGGATCAAATCATTGTGCCATGCTGCTGAACAAGGCTTCAATCCCTTCAGGGTCGGTTGACTGTATCAGTCTTGTATGGAGGATGGGGGGAAGTACCGATCTGTATCTTTAACTGCCAAGCAAATCACTGTTTGGGCAAATTCGCATTCGAGACACCACTACAATCCTGTATGGAAGTATTAGGATGGTAAGAAAGTCCTGAGCCGTTTGACACTTTTTTTGCTTTACTTTTTTATTCCGCGTACAATGGAATCTACTCAACAATATAATCACCATTGTTACTCACTACAGAGTCCCACCTAATGGGCAGGTCAGCGACCCCCTTCTCCCAGAACTGAGCAGACTGAGAGTCAAAGAATTTTTTCTTCGCTAGGAATGCCTTAAGGGGATGAAATAAGTGATAATCAGAGAGGGCAATGTCAGGGAATAGGATGGGTGGGGAACTGCGTCCCAGATCAGCTCTTCCAATTTTGCACGGGTCTCCTTTAGCTATGTGGGGCCTGGCGTCATCGTGGAGTAGGTGAAC